ATTCGGACCTATCGTCTTCGTTCGTGTTGTGTACACTGCCACGCATTTCGGCACACCCCTCATACGGCTCGTGGCTCCATAGGGAGCGCCACCGAAGAAGATATTCACAATTGCGGTACTCTCAACTGCATATGGTTGGGTCCTTCGCCAGGCTAATTTCCCACGGCCGTCGACGATCGAGGCAGGGCGTTTTTGCGCGTTTTCGGTGAACTTTGGCCGTCGTCGGCTTCCAGGAGCCCAGGGGCCTACTGGGGCTTCGCGGGGGTCACTGCCTGCCTGGCTAGCCCCGACATTGCCCTGGCGCGGCTCCCATGCCGCCCCTTCACGCACAACGAGTTTGGAGAATTTGTCGCCCCCTGGCTCCCAGCAGCTCCCTCTAAACAACGGCCAGACTACTACTACTACTACTACGTTTACTACTAATACTACAACTGCTACTATTACTACTACTACTCCTCCTACTACTACGACCACTACTACTACTACTACTACTCCGGGTACTACCACTTTGCTGTTACCACTAACACACCGACGATTAGACATAGTATTTGTGTTACTAACTATGACTGCTGTTGCTACTACTACTACGACGAACGCTACCACGATCACTGCTGCTATTACTACCACGCCAACGACTACTAGCTTTATCACTGTTCCTAGTGCTGCTGCTACTACTACTATCACTACTACGAGTGCCACTACCACACCAACAACAACTACTACTACTACTACTACTACTACTACTACTACTACTACTACTACTACTACATCTACGACGACCACTGCTACTACTACTACTACTACTACTACTACTACTACTACTACTACTACTACTATTCGTACTACTAGTACTACTACTACCTACGAGCGACTACTCATATTATCAGTGTCACTGCTGCTGTTGTTGCTATTATCATTACTACTACTGCGACTACTACTACCACTACTGCCACTACGAGTACGACTACCACAGCAACAACTATTACTACCACCACTAGTACGATCACTGCTACTATGACTACCCACAAGCGACTACAAATCTTATCCTTGTCATTACTGTTGCTGCTGTTGCTACCACCACATCAACTACTACTACCACCACTACTACTACTACTACTACTACTACTACCACCACTACTACTACTACGACTACAACTACAACTACTATTACATTACACTACACCTACACTTACAATTACTATCACATTACATTACATTACATTATATTACTTTACATTACATTACAGTACATTACATTACAGCACACTACATCACATGACATTACATTCGATTACATTACATCACACCACAGTACACTACATGACATTACCTTATATTACATTACATTACATCACATTGCATTACATGGCATTCCATTCCATTCCATTACATTACATATCATTACATTACAACACATTACATTACTTCACATTGATACTTCATTTTCAGTACTCCACATTACATTACATTAAATGACATGCCGTTACATTACATTACATTACATTACATTACATTACATTACATTACAATACATTACATTACATCACATTACATTACATTACATTACATTACATCCCATTCCATTACATCCCATTCCATTACATTACATCCCATGACAGTGCATTACATTGCATTACATTGGATTACAGTGCATTACATTGCATTACATTGCATTACACTGCATTACATTGCATTGCATTACATTACATTACATTACATTACATTTCTACCACTACTACTACTACTACTACTACTACTACTACTACTACTACTACTACTACTACTACTACTACTACTACTACTACTACTACTACTACTACTACTACTACTACTACTATACTACTACTACTACTACTACTACTATTACTACTACTACTTCTACTACTACTACTACTACTACTACTACTACGACTACTACTACTACTACTACTACTACTACTACTACTACTACTACTACTACTACTACTACTACTACTACTACCACTATTACTATTTCTATTACTACTACTGCTGCTACTACTACTACTACTACTGCTACTACTACCCGGCAGTTGGGTGATTCCCTTGTCATGTTTCCTGGAACCTGAGATTTCCCTTAAGGGTAATGATCTTGTTTCTTGGTTCTTGCATGGGCGACACGCACATACGTTTTATACGAGCGAGGTATTCGGGCCACTGCTCATTTCCCCGGTCGACCGGGGGATGTCCAATTTCACCGGTTCTTAAACCATCGAATCGGTGAATTACAGCATGTCCGGGTACCTTTCGCCCCTCCCGAATCCCTTTCGATAGCCAGCCCATCTCGAAGCGCTTCGACATGCGCATTAGGCCTCCCAGATGAGCGACGCAAAACACACCGGGGCCGTCTTCACCGACATTGGCGCGTGGGCTTCCCCCGTAAGGTCGCGCGCAATCGCTCTTGTCTCCTAGGTGGCATGCCGCGCTCGCGGGTCGCGCAAGCCCCGGCGTGAGGTCGCTATGCCACCTCGCGTAAGGCCCGTTTTTCTCGTCGCCCGGATGGGGTCTTAGTATTATGATGTTCCGACCTACTTTAGCCAGGCCGTCCGCCGAGCGTGCCCTGTCTGAAGAGCTCGGGGCCGCGCGAACTGGGCGCGGCCTCGTCTCGGATAGGAGCGCTGGGGAGGAGGAGGAGGAGGAGGAGGAGGAGGAGGAGGAGGAGGAGGAGGAGGAAGGGGAGGGGGAGGAGGAGGAGGAGGATAATGATACATTCCAAAAGATCTCCAAGGCTTCCGGGAGTTCCCATGCGGATCTCCGGATGTTCCTCACAAGCTGCGCCGCCAGGTGCCCTGGAAGTCCTGGGACGCTTCCTGAGCCACGCTTGCCATGACACCACTCTCGCCCTACTATGGAGGACGACCTGTTTGTAGGGGGTTGGTGTGCCCTGCCCTCCCAGGAGAGCAAACAGGAGCAGCAGGGGAACTCGATGTCTCGGATCCTGTCGAGGTGTTGAGCAGTCCAGCTATAGGTCTGTAGGTCTGGAGGGCTATGTTCTAGCACCCTGGAAGGTCAGGGTGCAAAAGTCGTGCTCCTCCTCCTCCTCCTCCAGAGGGAACGCTGCATTGGACCCATGGGGGGGGACCCAGGCCTCCGCGTGCACGCTCTCTTCGCGCCCCGCGGGCGGGGGGCCTGGCCGTGCTGTCTCTCTCTCTCTCTCTCTCTCCCTCTCTCTTTCTCTCTCTCCTCTCGCTCTCTTCCTGGCCTCGCTCGGGGCGTGTGTATTTTTTTGTTTGTCTCGGCGGAGACCATCGAGGAGCACCCTTAGGGGAACAAAGAGTGGCATAAGCATAAAAACTCTGAGGTCCGCGCCGATTTCTCGGATCGGCGCTGGACCCCTCTCCCTGGCGCGCGGAGCGCGCCAGGGGCGGCGCCGGAGGCGCCGCCGGGAGGCCCCAGCGCCGATCCGAGAAATCCGCGCGGACCTCCGAGCTTTTATGTTTATGCCATTTTTTGTTTCCCTAATCCTTCGGCATCGGGCAAAGCAAGACCCCCTCGCGCTGCGACAAGAACCACGACGGGAGGTGTTTCTCTCTCTCTCTCTCTCTCTCTATGTTCGCCCTTCGGGGGCCCTCCCCCGCGTCGGGACCGTCAGAGCACGACTCGGGACGAAAAACCGGTCCGGTGGACGGGGTCCAGACCTTTGGTGGTCGACGTTGTGAAAAAATCACGACGTCGGGGGTCTGGGAAAGCACACGCACGAAATCAAACAATGCACGGGAAATGACATGTGTGATCGTTTTTTTAATCATTGCTCTGCCGATCGGCGCGGGCCCTCCTCGCACCCCCTTCCCCCCCCATGGAGTAGGTCTTGGCTGTGTTTGGCGCCTGTTGCGAGCAGGTGGAGTCTCCCCCGTAGGACGCGCTGTTGTAAACAGTCGCACTAAGCAGAGGCCCAGAGCCAGACCCCCCCCCCTTCCCTCCCCCTCTTCCGCCCAATGTCGCGACGCCGAAAAAGAAGACGTTCACAATGGACCTCCGAGCGATGGCGAGTTGCGCGAAGGGAACCCCCAACGCACGGGGCGCGAGCTCGGGCGGCCGCGATGGCCTCGGGTCCCCGGTCGCCCGACGTCACTCGGCGGCACGCGCGGGGAAGGGGGGGGAGTGAGTCGGTAGCAAATCATGGGAGCCTTGTGCACCCTCGCAATTCTGCCTTTAGCGTCGACTAGCGTCGATTAGCGTCTGGAATGGATGAGATTGCGCCAATTTAGCGTCGATGTGTATCGGTTAGCGTCGATGTTGCGTCGATTCGCGTCGATTTGCGTCGATTTGGCGTCAACTGGCGTCGATTCGCAAGAGCCGACAAGATGGTATGGGAGGCTCCCATGAGTTGCCACAGCAGAGTGAGGAGGAGCGGCTCTTCTCAGAAGGCAACGGGGCTTCTCAGAAGCGCTCCAGCCTTCTGAGGAGTTTTCTGTGTCTTCGTGGGCGGCTCAGAGAACTTCTCAGAAGGCTAGGGGGCTTGATGTACCTTCTGAGAAGGCCCGCCCCTTCTCACTTCCCCCCCGTCTCGACCCATTCCCCAGGACTGGTGTCTCATCCCGAGTCGTCTTTTGACGGTCCCGAGGCCCGGCAAGTGCTCTGGGAGGCTGAACATAGCGAAAAACTTGTCGTCGTGTTTTTTGCATGCCCCGAGGGGGTCTGGGCATCGTGGCTCTGGACAGCCTTAGATACTCGAGCTTTGACCGACTCGGATAATAGCCCCCAGGTCGCCTCGGTCGTGGCGCGGGCCAGGCCGGGGCCCAGCCAGGGTGCGGGCATGTAGGGCGGGTGGTGGTTGGGGGTGATCAAAGGGGGAGGTGAAGAACAGGGCCCTCAAGGAGCCCTTTGGGGCCCCTTTTGGACCCAGTCGGTGCCCGAAAGGGGCCCTAAAGGGTCCATTGAGGGCCTTTTTCTTCCCCCCCCCATTGGGGTCACCCCCCACTACCACCCGCCCGAGCATGCCATTGAGGCTTCCCAGAGAGAGGCCCGCGCGCGCGCCCGAGGAGGTGCGCCGCAAGTACCGGCGGAAGCAGCTGGAGTGCCACCCCGACAAGGGCGGCGACCCCGAGGCCTCGGCGGAGGCTAGAAGTCAACACGGAGTGGGTCCATGCGGAGGGCTCGGCCTCCATTTGGGATTGGACCGTCTGGACTCAGCCCCTCCGATTGGAGGCTGAGCTCGAAGAGGAAACATACCATCAAACATAAACTTTTTTGGCGCTCCACGCAGAGTTCTGGGATCCGCGCCGGGATCACCTTGCGGCGCCTCCGACGCCGCCCCTGGCGCGCTCCGCGCGACAGGGAGGGAGGGTCCGGCGCAGATCCAGGAAGTCCGCGCGGAGCGCCAAAAGTTTGAGTTTTTTGTTATATCTATATAGAAATACATATATGTACGTATATATATATACACATATATATATATATATAGAGAGATATATGTGTATATATATATATATGTATACTAGTGTGGACCCGTGGATTAAATCCACGAAGTTGGGCGGATCGAAGCATGGTGGCGCGCGCTGGGTGGTGCGACGCTACCAGCCACTGCCGTAGATCCCTTGAAGCTTGTTCCAGTGCTGTTCCCCCACCGCAGACGCCCAGTGCATTGAAACGGGGGCCGAAGTGTTCGAGCTTCGCAAGAGGCAGAAATTCAGGAGTCCAGGCCTGAGCAACGTTGGAAGATTCGCGCCGGGATCGCGGCGGACGCGGGAGCGGGTTCGGGCAGACGCGGCGCCGTTGAGGGCCGCGTCGGAGGCGTCGGAACGGCGTCGCCGCAAAGTAGGGAGCGCAGCGGGGCAGCCCCACGGCCGCCGGAGCGCCAAGACATTTTTGCTTGCGCCTGCGAGGGGCCGCCCCCCTCTGTTGAAAGGAACTTTAAAGCTTCTTGGGAGCCGTTTTGGAGCTCTATGGGGGCGGATTCGGGCTCCTCGGGGGCTTCTCGGAGCCCTCTTGGGCCGGCAGGGCGCCTCGCAGGCCGTCTTGGGGCCGTCTTGGGCCATCTTGGGCGCCTATCGGGCCGTCTTGGGGCCATCGTGGGCTGTCCTGAGCCACTCTTGGGCCTCTCGTGGGGTCCTCTTGGGTCGTCTTGGGCGCCTCTTGGGCCGTCCTGGGCCCGTCTGGAGCCATCTTTGGGCCCTCTTGGGGGCCGTCTTGGGCGATCTTGGAGGCCTCTGGGGCCGTTTTGGACGCTTCGAAAAGCAATAAGCCGAATCTGCTGAAAATGTCAATTTTCCGAAGGGACTGTGACGACTGTAGCTTGATGGAGCTCTTTGGGGGGACCCCCTGGACCCGCCTGGAACTGTCCGGGGGCGTCTTTGGGGCTCATGGGGCCGTCTGGAGAACATCTTGGACCGCCTGAAAGTCGTCTTGGGTCGTCTCGCGGCCTTCATGGACCGTCTTGGGGCTCTTCTGGGGAGCTCCAGTGCCGTTTCGGGCCCTTCCGGGGGCCCTCCGGAACTGTTTCGGGGAGAATTCTCCGAGGGCTCCGGGGACCAGGGACCCAGGCAAACCCACAAGGCATCTTTCGGATTTATTTGAATGGATATATATATATATATATATATATTATAGATATATAAATCCCTTGCAGAGTAGGTCCATGCGGAGTTCTCGGTCTCCGTCTGGGCTTCTTCCGTCCCCAGGCCCCCGACGTCTTGGTGTGTTCCTAGCGTCGGCCCCCAGTGAGCTGATTCTCCACCCCCCCCTTTGCTATCCCCCCCTTTCGCCCGACCCGACTCCCGCGCCGTGATTCTTGTCGCAGCGCGAGGGGGTCTGGGTCTGGACGTACCCTGAGATCCGACGTAGCGAAACAAAAATGGCAACATCGTAAAACATCACGCCCAGAGCCGCAGACCACATCTTTCTCTGTCAGGTTTCGACCGGGATCGATCTAGGGCCTGAGAAAACAGGCGACAACGCCCAGCTCGACAAAAAGTGCGATGGCAGCCAGGATCTCAGGGTAGCCTCTCCCGATCGCCTCTTCTCGAGACCCAGAGATCCGATGTCGTGAGTCTTTTCAATACGGGGTCCCCGGAAGTCTCGACCCCTTCCCCTTGATTTTTCCAATGCGTTGGATCTCTGGGGCAGCCTCTCCTCGAGAGGCCTTCCACGCGAGGCAGGAGGAGGAGGAGGAGGAGGAGGAGGGAGGAGGAGGAGGGGGAGGAGGGAGGAGGGAGGAGGAGGTGAGGGAGGGAGGGAGGAGGGAGGAGGGAGGAGGGGGAGGAGGAAAAGGAGGGGCAGCCTCTCCCGATCGCCTCTCTCGAGAGGCCTTCCACGCGATCCAGTGCGCCTACCGGGCCCTCTGCGGCCCAGCGGGGGCGCGCCCCGTGCCGCGCGCAGGCTGCGCGTTCCGCCCGCGGCGAGAGGCCGTCCTCCCCCCCCTCCTCCTCCTCCTCTCCCCCTCCTCCCTTCCTTCCCCTCCCTCCTCCTCCACCTCCTCCTCCTCCTCCTCCTCCTCTCTCTCACTCACCTCCCTCCTCCTCTCCTCCTCCTCCTCCTCCCTCCCTCCTCCCTCCTCCCTTCCTCCTCTCCCTCCTCCCTACTTCCCTCCCTCCTCCCCCCCCCTCTCCCTCCTCCTCCTCCTCCTCCTCTCCTCCTCCTCTCCTCCTCCCCTCCTCCTCCTCCTTCTCTCCTCCTCTTCCTTCCTCCTCCTCTCCTCCTCCTCCTCTCCTTCCTCTCCTCCTCCTCCTCCTCCTCCTCCTCCTCCTCCTCGCTCCTCTCGCTCCTCCTCGCTCCCTCCTCCTCCTCCTCCTCCTCCTCCTCCTCCTCCTCCTCCTCCTCCTCCTCCTCCTCCTCCTCCTCCTCGCTCCTCCTCCCCGCGGGGGCGCGCCCCGCCCCGAGGCCCCAGGCCGAGAAGCGGCGCGGGCGGCAGCTCGCCGCCAGCCGGTGGTCGTCGGAGGGCGCCAAGCGATGACGACGACGACGACGACGACGACGACGACGACGACGACGACGACGACGACGACGACGACGACGACGACGACGACGACGACGGCGACGGCGACGGCGACGGCGACGGCGACGGCGACGGCGACGGCGACGGCGACGGCGACGGCGACGGCGACGGCGACGGCGACGGCGACGGCGACGGCGACGGCGACGGCGACGGCGACGGCGCGACGACGACCACGAGGACGACGACGGCGGCGACGACGACCACGAGGACGACGACGACGGGTCGGGCGGGCGGGTCTGGCGGGACGTGAAAGCGGGCGGGTCGGACGGGCGGTCCATATCGCTACCCCTCGCCCGTTTTCCCTTCTCTTCGGCCTCCTGTGAGGCACTCGTGGCCACCGATGAGTTCGCCTCGGAATTCTGGTCAGAGCGCACCCCGGGAGAGGTCAGGGGAGTAGCGGCGTCGGAACTTTTTTCCGTTTCCCCAAAGCAGACGTTCAGAGGAGAGCGAGATGTCAGGAGCGAGAGAAGGACGTCCATGTACATGAATCCAGGTTGGTTCCGAGAGAACGCCTTGCGCAATTTTTCATAGCACGAAGCTGACCTGGCGGACTGGGGGGCCGTATTCATGTGCGTGGTTGAGCGCGTACGTCCTCTGTGGGCTTTGGGATACAGGTATTGGGCCTTCGGGCGGCCCCCTCGTCGCCACGGCTGGGTGCAGCTCGGAAAATTGGTGCGTTTGGACCCGGGAGGGGTCTCGGGACCGATTTTGAGCTGAACCCCAGATCCCCTCGCGTCGTGCCACGACTCACGCTTTGGCCTCCCTCGCTGGGCCCCGGGGCCGCGAAAGGCCAGCGCCGGGGGGGAAGTTCGGCGTGGTCGATCGCGAGGCCTCCTTTGGTCCACGATGTGAAGCAAGCAGGACGTCGGGCGTCTGGGCAGCCAGGCACCCACACGGTCGGACCGAGGTAGAAGATCGAGGTCGGACCGCGGAGGGTACCCCATTATCGTTCTTCGTGCTTGTTGGATGTTCAGGTGCCTCCTGGGAGAGGCCAGTGCCCTCGAGTGCTCTTGTTGTTTGGCCGGTGAAGGGCCTCCCGCGTTCCTGAAGGACGCTCTTCTTGTCCCATAGGTCCGGCGGTTGCCGGCCATGCCGATCCCGGGCTCGGGGTCGGGGAGGAGGGGGAGGAGGAGGAGGAGGAGGAGGAGGAGGAGGAGGAGGAGGTGGAGGAGGAGGGGGAGGAGGGGGAGGGGGAGGAGTGCCTTTTCGCCACCAGCCCTGTAAGCCCATGGGCTGGGCTGGCTCCTGGCCAGGATCTCGGTGACATCGTGTGTAGCTGGCCGCCAGGATCGGCCCCCGGGCCGCGCCCATATTGAGGCCCCTGCCGGGGCCTTAGGAGCACGGGGCCAATGCAAGTGGGGGTCAGCCAGAGCGCTGGATCCTGCAGGCTCCCGCAGGGCCAGGGGCGCAGTGACCCAGCTTGGGGCGCAGGGTCCTTCAGGATCCTGCAGGATCCTGCAAGGCTCAACGGACCCGGGTTTGCATTGACCCCGGTCAGTAGATCGCCGACCATGCTCCGAAGGTGACGGCGGCGTCGACGCCGTCGTGGTGCCAGGTATGTCGCAAGCGCCACCCCCTCCCCGCAGACATGCGAAGGACCACATCCTCGCCGGGGCGGGCCTTCTCATCCTGCATGTAGTTTTTTGGCAGCCCCGGGGCCCAGGAAGGGTCCCTGGAGGCCGACACTTGCCAAGGAGGTTCTGTTGTGCGTTTTTCCCCCGGCGCGAGGATGTTTGGTTTTCGGTTCATATCTTGGGCCCCCGGCGTCCGATGGGGGCGAAACGTCCTCGACGAGGCGCAGCTGCTGGAAGGCACCCCGAGGCGAGAGCATATCCAAGACTCCCGAAAGCTTCTCTCACTCCGTTTCGTTTTCCTGTGCCGCAGGTCGAGCCTCGCCTGAGCCCAACTTTGCCGCCGTCATGGGTGTGCAGCAAGCTGTCGCAGGCTCCCTCCGGCAGCTGGCTCCGACGATCGAGGCGCACCAGGCTGTCCTCAGAGAGGCCACGGGTGCGTCGAGATTCAGCATTCGCCCGGACAGCACTGAACAGATCCACGCTGGCAATCCCGATCATATTCTTCGGGAGTTTGATGTTGGTTCGAATCACGTGGCCCCAGACTTGAAGGCGCGTTCCAAACAACGCATGGGGCTTCTCTTCAAGCGCAAGGATATCAAAGCGGCTGCAGCTAAAGACATGCATGCGAAGTTCCGGGAGCAGAGCAAGCAAGCATGGCAATGGCCGAGGAATACCTAGAAGCCGCCACCGCCACCATTGTCGATTCGAGAGCACAACGAGAGGAGATGTCAGAAAACTACGATGTGCAAAAGGCCCGGAAACGGCTCCGGGAGGAGCACGCGAAAACATGCCAGCAGTTCGTTAACGAGCATACCGACAAAATGATCTAGGCCTTTTGGCAGCAAGATTTTGATTGAAGCGATTGCTCAAGAGGTGGATGTGGAGCTCGCCGATTATCGGAGCAGGGAAGGGCCACCGCTACAGGCAGGCCGAGAGGGGCCACTTCATTGCTCAAGAGGTGGATGTGGAGCTCGCCGATTATCGGAGCAGGGAAGGGCCACCGCCACAGGCAGGCCGAGAGGGGCCACTTCAACAAGCAAGTGAATCTCTTCCTGAATATTGTGCAGCGTCGCTGCTACGCAGATAACAGGCGATGTTTCTCCCCCAATCCCCGAGTTTCGCCCAAAAAGTTTGGCCGCTCAGAAACATGGAAAAACCCTGGGATACACCCCAAGGGGGCTATTCGGACGCACCCCTATCGAGGATGGGCACCCCCCCATCGTATATCCCAGGGTTGGGCCCCAAATTTCTGGTCCATTCGGAAACCCCACGAAGCCTGGGATAGGGGTCGACGTATCCCTTGTTAAATGAAAGTCTCTGCACAAAACCCGGGCTCGGGAGCAGAAGCGCGAGAAGCAGCTTGAGGATGCGAATGTGTTGTGGGAGAGCGCCGATGTTTCGATTATCGCTGGCATGGCCAAGCTGGTGGCCGCCGAAGAATCGAAGGGCGCTCAGCCAGGTGCATTGTTGCACTCCCTGTGCAATAAGCCGGAGATTTTAGAGCAGTTCACGAAGGACCGCCGCCGCGCGTGCGGACGCAACGCCCCGAGGTCTGGCAAAACACGGGACCAGAGCACGTCGGCCAACCGCCAAGGAACACGCTTGGCTGGCAAGTCTCCTAAGGGCTGGCGGTCCTACCCGAAGACGCCCAAGCCGTCGAGTGGTCAGTCCAGAAATTTCTCGTGGGCGCCACGCTCACCCAGATTACGACGCAGAAGCAGCGACAGCAGCAGGTCCAGAGGAACCTCGAGGACCTCCTTCTGGCCGCGCTCCTCCCGGCAACCCAGCAGCACAGGCAAGGGCATGCGCGGACGCACAGGAGGCAAGGGCCGGGGGGGGGGCGCGGACGCGGCCGCCAGAAGGGGTTTTGACGCGCCAGGGGGTCGTCGGACCAAGAAGCGGCGGCCCAGAGACGCGAAGATTTTGGACAGACAGTGCGCGCGCGAGGGTTGACTTTCATAAGCTCGTTTTCGCGCAGTTTGTTTTACTTGCCCGTCAGACAGTTGATGGGGGAAGCCAGCGCAAAGGCAGTGCACGTCATGAATGTCGATCCAGGCACGGTTCCGCTGTGCGTCCACAGCTTGCTGGGGAAATTACCCAAATGCAGTCCGCAACGAGAGCTGGGCCCACATCGAAGCGTTATCCAGAAAATACACTGCATGATGGCTGGGCTTAGATGGGCTGATGCACGCAAGGATGGGGAAAGTCGGGGCACGGAAGATTGGAGAATAATGGTCCGGAAAACGTTGCTGTCCAACCGTCCGCCGCCAAAGTTGCCCGAGCATGTCGAGATGAATTTCCAGCGTGTCCAGGCCTTATTTTGCCATGACATTACAGAGTTTGTACATTGATTTGCGGCCAGCGCGGAGTCGCGGTTATGCAATTTCTCCATGCCAGACTCGCAAGCCGCGCGGTGGCTCAAGCAACACTACCGCGAAGTACGAGCAATCGAGTCGGACAAAAACTTGGGGCTCACAGTGGTAAAAACTGTTTGGGTTCGACAACAATTTCAGCAGCATTCAGGCAAGTCGCACGTGGCAGTGGCAAGCATCGAAGCCGAGATAATATTTTGCGAAGAATTTGGATATCGCTCGATTATTTTGTTTCCGACGCCCTGCTGAACAATGCGATTACCAGCGGGCGAGCTGCGTTCTTGAAGCCGCGGCTACATGTCGGGATCGTGCCATTTTCCCGCATCGACCTCAAGATCCAGAAATATCCAGTGTGATCGAGACCTCTTGGCAACATGCGCGGGTGCGTGTCGGGGCCTGCACCAGCTTTTGTTGTGTAGCAGCGTCCGCGTTGCACTTATTCCAGACTTTCGAACGCGACGCATTGGACAGCGCGGAACAGTTGTTTCGATATCACTTCTCTCTTCCCCGACCTCAACATCGATGGTCCGAATGTTGGAGTCATAGTCGTGGTTCCGAAGGCAGTTTTGGATTTCTACGCGGCACAGGGAAGAAGTGCGCTCGGAAAATTTGCGCGCGCGCTTCTTAAATCAGCGTTGGCGGAGCCGATCATCAGATCAGCGTCATTTGATTGATCTTCCAAACGAAGAGATGGTTTGCAGTCGGGCTTGAGTTGCGCCAGTACAGTGGCGAACATATGCCTCGCCATGCATGTCGACCCGCTCGTAGTGCAGCGTGCATCTTCGGAAAGATTGCAGGTGCATCGACGACGGTGGGGCCGTCGTTCTTGCCTGGTGCACTTCCCGCGCCCGTGATATTCTGAACGGATGGAAGGCGTGGGTAACATCGAAAATTCGCGATGTCTGCGTCGGAGGCAACGTGGGCATGTTGGACGTCAGTCTGAAGATCCGGAGAGACAGAGTT